TCACTCACTCACTCACTCACTCACTCACTCACTCACTCACTCACTCACTCACTCACTCACTCACTCACTCACTCACTCACTCACTCACTCACTCACTCACTCACTCACTCACTCACTCACTCACTCACTCACTCACTCACTCACTCACTCACTCACTCACTCACTCACTCACTCACTCACTCACTCACTCATGGTTTGAGTGCAGCTTTAAATAATTAACACAAAGCCATGCTGCTTTGATCCCTTAAGTCCCAAGTTGGACATTATACTCATTAAGGTCAGTTAAACAACCTGATTCTTTTATATTACAATAGCATGACTTTGTGAGTGCCACCGAATGTCATTGTAGGAGATCAGACATAATTGATACCTGACTTGTTGTGATACAGTTGCATGCATAAACAGGTTGGCAAGTCGGACTGCTGGATCCTTTTAGTCATCCATCCATCTCCTCTTAAAAAAAGCTTGATTGCTGAAGACCAATTATAAATGTATTCATGAAAATTTTGTAATATTTTAAGCAGATGGACAACTACTGTGGTTTTACTGTGTAGAAAAAGTTTTTCAGTATGATTTGTATGGTTTAATGTTCGGTTTTGTTTAAGCGGAAACAAAATGAAGGTGAATTTAGTTGTGCCTGAGAATACATGTTTCCAGAGACAATTTGTATCCTAAGGTCCATGTGATAAGCAATACTATTTCAGAGCTTAGAGGGCGATAGAGTAGTCAAATGGTTAAAGTGTTCACTCATCACGGCCTAATACCTGGGTTCAATTCCCCACATTGGTACAACTGCGTGAAGCCAATTTTTATGTCCCCCGCCGTGTTGTTGCTGGAATACTGTGAAAAAATACTCACCCATTCACTCAGAAAAAATCCCCATAGAAGTCAAAAGACTGGAATCATTATTTCAGAACAGAAAACCAAAAGCATGTCTCACTAGATGCTGGTTATAGTTTTGTGTAGAGAAAGTCGGAGATGAATTACCATATGTGGTATCAAAAATCCATTATAAATATAATATATATGCTAATGAGATGCCAGTATGCAACCACAGTGTCATTGATAGTCTGTTAAATAAATATTTTGAACATCATGATTTCAGAGTCTCAAGGATAAATACTTTGAAATTTTTAATCAAATAAGTTTAATGTTAGATTTTAATGTCTTCCACAGCTCAAGCTAATGTCTCAATAAACAGTTCATTTCTTTACGCTTTGCAAACGTACTGACTCAGCAATAATCAATATCAAACCCGTGTCAGGGATAGACTTTTGACATTATCAATTCAATGCATGTTTAGTAGGCTAAGATGAGTATTGTACCATAAAGATGTTATTGAGCTGTGACAGACATCTATACAGAGGGAATTATGGGTCATGACGATCAGCCTGCCAGGCTATAGACCAAGCATGTACACTTAACCCTAGGACAGGTTCAAAGTGTGTGTGCTTGTCTTATTGGGAAGATGGTGTATATGTTCACAGTAAACTTGAATAATTATCTCTCTACCACACACATACACCCACACCAAGGGCCAGGTTTCAGGGCAGACCAGCTTATCAGGGCTCATGGTCCTCTCTAAACAGGGTATAGGTCACTTGAAATGGGTCAGGTCAAGCATCGGTGGTTGCAGAGATTGGTTGGATGGATGACTGTGTTCTGGGCCTCAGTCCCTCCTGTGTGATGCCTCCTTCAGCAGGCCCACTTGCGCAGATCTATGCTCATGCAGTGGATCACTGGATTGTCTGGTCCAGACTCGATTATTTACAGACCGCCATATAGCTGGAATATTGCTGAGTGCAGCATAAAACTGAACTCACTCACTCACTCTTTCAGCAGGCCTGTGAAGATTGGGGTTAGAATTGGTCTCCAGTAACCCGTGAAGAGGCAACTAACGGGATCGGATGGCCAGACTTGGCACACATGTCATAGTATCCCAATTGTGTAGATTGATGTTCATGCTGTTAATCACAGGATTGTCTGATCCAGGCTTGGTTCTGTACAGACTTCCTCCATATCGCTGTGATATTGCTTTGTGCGGCAAGCCAAACAACCAACCAACCTCCTTCAGCAAGTGACTTGGTTGTAAAAAAAATGTCTCTGTTCACTCAGCAGTGAGTGGGTACCAGGTTGGGTGAGATTAGAGGAATATTGATGGCTGAAGGGTGTTTGACGGCTGAAGTGTATTGGATGGCTGGAAATCTTTTGTGTTTCTTCATTTACTACTCGCCATTATTGATGCCACTGATAAATAACAATAAGCTTGTATTCACATTTTTATACCAAAGCCTGTTCTTTTGGACCCCCAGACCACTTACACTAACAAATGTAATTTAAAACTCTTAACATCACTTGGCTTGTTCAGTGGCATGGTGTTTGGAGATGATAGGTCACTGTGAAGAGCTTTTGCACACTTGGCATTAACAATTCAATAGCTTGGTTGATGTCACATGACACTGTTGGCGGCGTATCTAATAACAGAATTTTTTGTAATTATGCCATAGGATGTAGTGTTTCTTTGTAAACCTTTTGTAGCTGAATTCAAAACGTAGGCTGTTGTTTTGCAATAAATTATTCTTGTCTATATTGAGTTTGAACAAGAACGACATTTTTATAAAGTTGCATTTTCCTGTTAAACTAAATTGTATTACACTGTGGATCACATTGATGTCTGCCTGTTTATGCAAGGCATTGAAATACTGTATTGAAAGGCTTGACTATTCTTTGATGGAAATTCCCTTGATCAAATGAGGTCTTAAAAAGTTATTAACAGCAAGTAGAAAATGAAATACTAAACTTGCCAGATTGATTTATTACGGGGGCGTGGTGGGTGAGGTGTATAAGGCGCCAGGCTAGTGATCCAGAGAGCTTGAGGTGACGGGATCAAGCCCACCTGTGACCGGGCGTAAAAACCTTGGAGCAACTTTGTGTGCAGACTCTTTCAGTCTTGTGTCGACGCGTGGATACAGGCTTATGCGTCAACTGGGGAATTAGCTCATGTTTTAAGATGAAGTGTGCGTTGATGAAGACGAAGGCATAGTTGAGTTGAAACTTCTTTAGTTACATGTCAAACAAATGCACAAGACATACATGTGGTGAGCGGAGTCCCAGCTCAACCCCAGGACATTTCCTACGAGCGGCATTATCCTGCTCGTGGTCGTCCCAACAGACTCGTACTCTTTCACTGTCTAGATGTGAGCATACTAAGTATATATACAGTTTTTGACAATGGACAGGCGATGACTCATCAATGGACAGACAGAAAAACAATAGCACTTCCTTGACCAGTTGATGTGATGGCAGACATGGCCAAGGGGGATTACCGATGAAGGTTATAAATGTCTTATACAATAATAAATGGTCTGACAAGTCAATGTACAAAGCGGTGATAAGGATGTACAGTAGTGATTAAAAATACAGCTTAGCCTCATATATATATTACAATAAAGTCTCACATGTCTTGAGTACATAGTTTTGGACTTTTTAAATATTTGGATGATGGCTGTCCTGAATTAGTCCCTATAACAGTTGTCACAACCCCTAGTGTACAGTACACAACCATGTGCACTTTAAAAGAACCTACCTAATCAGTTGGTATATGACCAGATGGTAGCCACATGAATAATGCAGTAAACACTTAGTTGCGGTACAGCAACGCAGTAAACTTGAAGAAAGTACTCATGACTAGTTATTTAATAGTTCTGGGTTGTGACTGAGTTAAGTATATGGGAGCACCTTTGGTGTTCAGTACCTTGATGGTTTGGGTGTTCATCTCGTTATCAATCACTGGATTTCCTGTTCCAGAAAATGTATTCACAGATTGCAGTGATTGGATATAGCTAAAATATTATTAAACATGGCATAGAACAACACTCACTCACTCATGGTCTGTTTTGGAAAAGGCAGAGCTGCTCAGACACGGTGTGGCTGTCAGAGATGGGGATATATATATGCAGGTGCTTGTTGGTCATGGCTGATGTCAAGGCTGATGTCAAGGTTGATGTCAAGGCTGATGTGTTCTGTCATCGTCCAGTGACAGTTCATCAACACTCTCCCACACTGGAACACCCAGTTACCTGCTTGTGAACTTGTTGCACTCCATTGGACAGCATGTGTGGCAGTGGATCTTGCTTAGGCTCCAAACAAAATCCTGTGTATTGCTTGTACATGTATTTGTATCAGCTAATCCTAAACTTGGTTGTTCGTGGATTTGTTTGTTTTGTTTAAAACTTCTTTCTTTCTTTGTAAAGTTGCAGTAGATTGTTTTATACTAGTGAGACTGTTACTACAGATTTACACTTCATGCAAATAAAATGGCCTAACCTGCTTAGAGGGCTTATATTCAGTTCTAAAACTACAGGGCGGTGGGCAGCCTATAGTGGTTATATGCTCACTCATCACGCCTAAGACCCGGTTCGCTTCCACATGGGTACAATGTGTTAAGCCCATTTCTGGTGTCCCCGCCGCGATATTGCTGGAATATTGCTAAAAGCAGCGTAAAACCAAACTCACTCACTCACTCTAAAACAACAGCAGACGTCAGTATAAAATTTCCAACCTGGAAGTAAACATGTCTCCATTCATGCTGTTATAAGACCATTACAGACGAAATGCTTATTGAAGTTCTGTTTATTATTGCTTTGAATTCAGTTTTAAAATACTTCTGAAGTTAGGAAGTTTTGAAATTTGTAAGAAAGTGAAAATTTTAATCAAAATAAAAAAAATTCTACTCACCTTCCAAATGCACTTTTTGGGAATCTGAGAATGATTTCTGGACAGACAAACCAGAATGGTAGTGACAGCTATGGTTTGTCTCGAGATAAATAAGTTACATGGCTCAGGTTCAGGGCTCCAGATGAGGGTGTTCTGGTTTCATGTAAACAGACATTGTTTGTGTTCTGGTTTTAAATGTACACCTCCTGGTTCAGATGAGCTGAGTGTATAAACACACATTGTTTGTATGTTTGTTTGTTTTACCTGTACACCTCATGTTTCAGATGAGCTAAAATCCTTGAAGTCAGAGCTTTCAAGATCTTCAAAACATGGAAGAGATGTGGAAATAAAACTAAGTAAATCACTGGTGAGTGTTTTATTCAGTAAAAGATTTGTATTTAATAAATGTTGATACTAATGAAAAGTTTTCTTCAAGAAAGCAGACCTCCTCCACAGTCTGGGGGCGTTGGGGTAGCCTAGTGGTTAAGCGTTGGCTCGTCACGCCGAAGACCCGGGTTTGAATCCCCACATGGGTACAATGGGTGAAGCCCATTTCTGGTGTTCCCCCGCCATGATGTAGCTGGAATATTGCTAAAAGCGGCGTAAAACCAAACTCAGTCAGTCAGTCCTCCACAGTCTAATATAGAGCTGAAGGTCGTCAGTACCTGGTCTAGTGGATGGAGAATCTGCTCAGACAGCAGATCGTCTCTAGGGCTTCCACGGGTACTCGAGTACTCGAGGACGAGTCGTGTCTAGCTGGACTCGAGTCCATTTTCAAGGACTCGAGGACTCGAAAAGGGAAGATAACTTGGATTATTTGACGTTGACAGACTGTCTGCCATGTGCTTAGCATGAGCGGCCGTTAACGTCTAATATTAAGATAAGATATAACTTTATTATCCCGGAGGAAATTCTTATACATCCAAACTGTCTCAAAATGAATATACACAGTTCACAAAAAATATACACAATAATCAATCACATGCTCAAAACGAATGCTATTTATAAATAAACTGACATGATATAATTCAATTAACCACATAGGTAAAGAGGCTGAATAATTCTAGTTCTAATCACATGATGGTGATTCAAAATATTTGTTGCATCTCACGCTAATACTTAATGGTAAGAAAAAGACTGTCGAGCTCTGTTTGTTTTGAGGGAAGGTAATCGGCCAGCAGGCCCAGAAGGAAGTAGTTCAAAATGTTGAGATCAAATATATCAACTATCAAATCTAATTTTAGCTCCCTTTGACAATCTGACCATAGATAAATGGAGTACACTCGAAAGACACTCCAGAAATTTTGCAAGCAGTATTAACAATTTTGAAAAGTTTGTTTTGTTATAGATGAGACAGATCCCCATACCAACATAGAAAATTGTAGGTCAACACACTTTGAATAAAGGTTTGATAAAAACTGTCATTACGGGTTTAGTCAATGCCTTGACGATAATAATGTTCAGAATCAGAAATTAGGCCAGTAATAGTGGCGCCACCTGCTACTTTCATTACAGTGAACAAGTCATATTTGACAAGTAACAGTCATTGGTATACAAAACCTAAGAGTACGGATGAAGGAAACACAGCCATGTGGAGCTCCAGTAGATCGTTGAGAGAAAAGAAAATTGATAGCCATTGACACTGACACACTGAGTTCTATGTACCCTGAATTCTTTAACCCGTCTGATGATGTTTTTATTAATACCTAGATTACATAGTTTACTCCTCACACGGTGTGGCTGTATGGCATTAGTTGCTACAAGTCTGCAGATGAGAGTAAATATTATACATGGTTTGAGTTTTCACTTTTAAAATGATTAGGTAACTATCTTGATAGACAAATTGATAGACATGGAGAAAGATAAAAAAATCAAATAAATGGGCTGATTCTTGATCTGATAGTGAAAAGAGCAAAATAACCAAATGCCAGCCTGTGCGGTATCTCACTCGCTTTGCAGGCAGGCAAGAAGTAATTAAGAAAAAACGGTTTGTCAAGTAAACATCCAAATACTGATTCTGACCAATAGGAAATGTTAGTCACATGATGATATGAAGTTGGAAAGAAGTAAGTGTTCACTTGTGTGATGGGAACACACGTCATGCCGGTTACGCTATCGTTTGTTTGAAAGGTATGAATTTCGAGTACTCGGGTCCGAGTCGAGTCTCACCCTTCGAGTACTCGAGTCCAAAAAAATGGACTCGTTGAAGCCCTAATCGTCTCTCCATACATCATTAAAAAATGGTACTTTTTGTTACCTTTCCTGGACCTCTGCATTAGGGGCTGGTTGGCCTGCATTCTGTGTACTTTGTTGGGTATCCACATTAAATTTAGGAATGGCATCTCGGTGGGCTGGCACTGTAAAACCATAGTACACACCAGTATGCATACAAACATGCATGCACACAAGCTATATAAGCAGCAGCCCACACACATACAAGTCACTATCTGTATGCAATATTCTTTAACATCCTAAAAGCAAATGATCAGCCTAGCAATACACATTCATATGTTTTCTCGGGAATCAGAGATCAAAGATGCTGTGAGCTTATTTACAGAATGAGCCTTTCAGTCCGAAGCTATCACAACGTGTGTTTTTCTTTTACTCTTGTGTTAGATATCACAGCCAGCAAGAAACGTGCACTATTGTTATTTTCAGTAACAAATTTTGTACATAAGATGAAGAGTTTGGAATCGATGCTTACATTAGTTTGAGTCTCTACATGCCTAACAGAATAATCACAGATTTTGATTTGTTCTTGTTTCAGACAAAACTGGAAAAATATTGGAAACTTCTGAAGGACAATGGTTAGTGTGCTTTGACTCGGTTTGTTATATAGAGTTATATTGTGATATATTGTGTATAGGAAGACACTCGGGAATTTATTGTCCAAAATCCTTCTTCCAACCTTTCTTGTTTGTAAGCACTACTAGCAGTGTCTTCAATATAAATTGCACAGCTCAGCTGAGTGGTTGAGAGATTTGTGATGTCATTTGATTGTGACGTCATGGTAAGTGATGACATCACAATGGTTTGCAAAGCAATGTGATAACAATTTATCCCCAAGCAATATATGAAGTGGAATCCAGTTTTGGATGATAAATATTCTTTGGAGAAAGTTGGCAAGATCGTTCCACATGTGTGTTTTCTGTGATGGTTTCTGTAACTGTTGCTGTAATTGTTGTCAGGAGTTGCAACTAAACAGTTGTGGATGACATTATTTTGTCATTTTCAGATTTATTGCCAAAGGGGGAGCGGAAGCCAAACAAATCCAAGGTCCTTGATGAGTCCTTGTGGGAGACTTCACAGGAGGAGGAGGATACAGGTAGGAAGGGCTGTGATTGGGGTGGGATGGGGTAGGGTCTATATGAAGAGCAGGGAACATTGCAGATGGAGATACACAGGTAGGTAGGAGCTGGTGATGGGGGTGGGGTGGGGTAGGGTCTATTGAAGAGCAGGGGACATTGCAGATGGAGATACAGGTAGGTAGGGTTGTGATTGGGGTGGGATGGGGTAGGGGTCTGTATGAAGAGCAGTGGACATTGCAGATGGAGATACAGGTAGGTAGGTTGTGATTGGGGTGGGGATGGGATGGGGTAGGGTCTGTATGAAGGGCAGGACAGGGGACATTGCAGATGGAGATACAGGTAGGTAGGGCTGTGATTGGGATGGGATGGGGTAGGGGTCTGTATGAAGGGCAGGGGACATTGCAGATGGAGATACAGGTAGGGAAGGGTTGGGTGGGGATGGGGTAGGGTCTATTGAAGAGCAGGGGACATTGCAGATGGAGATACAGCGATAGAAATAGGTAGGGTTGTGGATTGGGGTGGGATGGGATAGGGTCTGTATGAAGAGCAGGGACATTGCAAATGGAGGAAACCAGTAGGTGGGGTGGGTGGGTATATGTGTTGTGATTGGGGGGGAGAACGCTTACAAATATATATATACCAGAAGGCTGGGGAAGAAACAGATGGTGGGGGGGGGAGGAAATGGGATGGAGGTTATAGAGGATGTTGCAGATTCAAGCATGTCAGGAGCTATATGGGTATGTGAAGGCAAAAGATACCATCTTTCCCACCTACCAGTTTTGTATATTTGTCCCCTAAGTCTTATGTCATGGGTTACAATCAGCTATACGACTGCATTCCAATAAACAGTGTAATGTCTCATCTCCAGGATCACTGATTGGTGAAGTCTGTTACCATCTGGAAGAAGCTGATCAATCAGATAACAACGACGATGACGTACATGGAGATAATGCAGTGGATGATGATGTTGACTTCATGGATGTTGGTGGTGGAGACGTTGATGATGATACAGAAGATGATGACTACCCATCCATAGATTTCCGCTTCACATTCAGCCCCATCTGTGCACCAGTGTCCCCGCTGCCACCGTCACCAGTGCCGGCCAAGGTAGCCAGCTTCTACAGCCTTCGACATATTATATGTACAAAATTCATTCAGAGAAAAACCTGCCATCTCTTCAGTTGGCTATTTCAAACATAAATAAACACCTGTGTATTTATATCGAAACTGAATGGGTTGTCCTATGACTTTGATTTTGAGAGCATTTATTAAAACCCAAACCTGAAAATTGATAATTTCTTTGCACGGCCTTCACCCTAGCATGACAAACAATAGAAAGTAACAGCAAACTCAGTAAGTAGTTCCTACTATTCACAGTAGCTTTTGAATTGGGGATTACTGGTCAGCAGTTTTAATCCATGTGTTTAGTTCCAGATATTTAGACAATAATTTTACACACAGGCATTTGCATCACCTGAATGAGAGACAATAAAAGCAACTGTTACATCGCGAGATGGTGCATTATTCAAATTGAACTTTGTTCCAAAAGCATACACCTTAATGGCGCTCATTGTTTTTATTTTGAAAAGTAAAAGCTCATCAAAGTGTCACATGTTTTATTTTTCATTCAGCAAATGAAGGCAAGTTCCTCAGCAACCCCCTCCTCGTCAATAGCATATGAGAATGAGGATTCGATGGACATCATGGCTGAAAGCCTTCAGTCTCAACTTCTTGAAGATTTAACTGCTTCCAAAGCAAAATCTCTGCGGCGATCTCCAAGATTAAATAGAGGAAAAGATAGGGCCCTTGTTTCCTCTTCTGATGAACCAGCTGAAAGCTTCAGGACAAATAGAGTCAAGACGCAGAAGCTACAAGAGAGTAAAGCTGAACAGCAAGATAAAGGAGCTGATAAGACGGCCATTGAGCCTAGTTCCAGGCTACAGAATAGGCTAGACTTCGGTGAATCTGAAGGATATGATCTGGAGACCAGTCTGCCAGCTATTTCAGATTCCGACGAGGAGGTGGAGGAGGGGACAGTTTATGATGGAAACAGGAAAGGTTCTTCTCCGTTTCCAGTGCAGAACTTGATCGAAGACATGAAGAGGCTAAAAGAGGTAGCTCAGCGTACAATGTCTGTTGATGAGGAGCAGGAAGAATCTGTGATGCTGAAACTGAGACCCAGGAACACCAAGGCGTCCCTGCAGCTGAGCCCTCTCGCAGACCTCACTGGTACAAGGAGTCCATTGTCCTCAGCTAAGTCTTGTAGTACAGATGAAAAAGAAAATGTAACTGGAAATCTACAAAACAGACCAATGACGCCAAAAAGGGTTTCAGGAACATTATCAAAATCTGATGAGCATGTGAGGAGTGAAGTGAGCAGTCAGACTGATCGAGTTACAAGATCTATGAGTCAGCCAGCTGACGAAAAGACAAAGCAGAATGAACATTTGGCTCCTCGACCAAAGTCTGCCATGGCGAAGATGGAAGATGGTTTCTTAACACCTACACCTCCAAAGTCAAAGAAAATGCAGCCAACTTCGCCAAAAACTGGAGCTGAGCAGTCACCAAAGAAACAGACTCGCACACGAACAACAAGCTTACCATCAGATTTGTCAGATCTTGAAAGTTCAACAGTAAGAAAGTCACCAAGGTCAAGGTCAGAAACACTTAGCAGTACTGACAGTTTACAGTTGAAGAAATCATTACGGTCACAATCAGTTGAAATGTTGCATCATAAAGATGCAGAAAGTCCTGTGAGAGTTCTAAGGTCAAGGTCAAGAGACATTTCTTCAGATTCATCCGATAGTAAAGTCAGTCAAACAGGTTCTGTGAAACAGAAAAAAGATCCATTTGTGAAAAAGAAGGCTGCAAAAGAAGAGGAATTAAAGCTGGTTCTTGACATTAAAGTGCAAAATTCTGAAACATTGAATAATATTGGAAAGTCTGATGCAAAGGGACATGAAAATGCAAAATGTGCTACCCCAGAACTGAAACAGGGTCCTGCATTTGCAAAAGAACAAACAGAGAGTGATATTGTGCTTGGGATGAAATCATCCATCACTGATGATGTGATGGACATGGAGGCCATGGTTTCAGGACAAATAGACACGGAGGAAGCAGACAGGACAATTGTTGAGGGTGGATCAGATACTGTGGAGTGTTCGGAAACTGTGAAGGCTGCAGGTAATACAGGCGACACATCAGGAATGGACATCAAGATAGACTCCAGCCCTGACTCTCTGAAAACATCCAACCAGGCTGCTGAAAAGAAGCATTCATCTTCTGAAAGTGATATTTTTTCAGAGAAAGGTCACAATAAGCACAATCTGGATGAAACTTTGAAAGGATCAGTGTCCAGTTCTAAAACAGTTACATCAGAATCTGTCAGTGATAGTTCTGGGTCTGTGAGAACACCAGTGAAATGTTCCAAACCGGAATCAACTCCAGGAACAATGACAGGCAGCAGTGGTTCAAATTTCATAGCAAAAAAGGCAAAAGCAGTGTCATTACCATCAAAGAGAATGTTTTCTTCAAAATCTGATTTTCACAAACAGGTAATGTCTTCTGATTCATGTGATACAGAGGAAGAAAACCAGAAGAAGAGAAAACAGAGCACACAGAAGGGGAAGAGTCCAAAGATACCTGTGATTGACACATCCTCAGAATCTGAGACTGATGAGGATGAGAGCACAAATGCTAAAGATTCTGGAGGTCACCTTGGGTCAGATTCTTCACCAGGGTTGGAGGCTGAGTCTGACACAGTCCAGACTTCACCTGGAACCAGGACGTCTACGCAGGAGAAAGTGGCAGTCAAGGCTGTTGTATCCTTGTCATCCTCTGACTCTGAGGTAGATCACACTAAAGGATCTGTACCAGGACCACCTGCGAGGAAACTGAGGAAAACATTCAACACCAAACTCAGGGGCAGTGGGAAGAAGACCTCTTACAAGGCTACCAGGAACCAACAGAAAGTTTTCACATCTAAAGAATTTATTTCTACTGAATCAGACAGTGATGGGAGTGAGAGCATACAGCCCAAGAAAGCTGATAAGATACTTGATGATATTCCATCTGTGAATAATGCAAGCAAATCCTTTCTCTCTGAACATAATATGGACAGAATGGATTTGGTCATGGAAACTAAATCTTTAACTTCTGCTAAAAGAGAACGAGGAAAATCTGGTAAGATCTTTCAAGATAAAAATTCAAAGCCAAGTTCTCAACAGAGCCAAAATAATGCTTCAAGAGGTACTTTCCCCTCAGATAGAGTACCGCCAGGTTCTTGCTCTCTAGTCAAGAGATGATGAAGCAGAGGGTGTTACTGCAGCACCTGAGTCAAATGCATTGTTAGAAGAAGATAAAAAAGAATTCTCAATCAAAGGGAGAAAATGGGTTCAAGACCTGGCCGCTTTCACACCAAAGCGACAAGTTCGACTTTCAAGAGACATCGTTACCAGCCCTTGGAGACAGAAAAGGACTTTGCAGACATAATTTTGGAAAGAAGGCGCATTACTAGGAGTGTGTCAGACAAATCTGGCAGTGAGGCCAAACAATCTGAAGACAGTGAGCCTCTAGAGGTTGTCAAAAAGGCAGAAGCTCAACGAAAAACAGATTTGATTGTAGAAAAACTGAAATCTGCACATGAGAAAAAGAAATATTTAACAAACTTGGAAAAAGATAGGCTCAGTGTTTTGAAGAGGAAGTCTGGAACTGATTCTGGGAATACATCTGATGATGTTAAAAGTAAAGGAAAGACAACTCTGGCTGGACCAGATATGTCGTCTGCTTCTGAAATGGAAGGAGCGTGCAGTGTTGGAATATCAGGTTCTGTGACAGACAGTGACATGGACACAATCAAAGTGGTGGTATATCAGGACAACCTACAGTCATCAGCTTCAGACAGTGTTTTTAGTAGTCCGGTTAAATCTGTGAAATCTCTAGATCTTCCTCAGGACAAAGACCACAAAGGTAGCACAAAAAGTCCATTGAAATATGTATCAGGTGTGACAAATGTTGAAGAAAAGGTGGACAAAGACAATGTCTCTGTGAAGACAAACTCCCCAAAACATAATAGTGCTAAGACAATTCTGTCAAGACCGGAATGTGTTTCTTCTGAATCTGTGATCTCAAACAGTGCTGATGTAGAAGAGAAAGATCAGGATAAGTGTGCTAAAGACATTAGGACTGAATCTGCTCCACAGACAGACTCAATTCAGTCAACATCTGTGAAGGAACCAGTCATTACCCAGTTTCTGCCCACTGCCCCAGACAGCTCAAGGGTGCACACAAGCAGTGATATGGATGGTGTTGTACATCGACCACCAACAATGAACTCTAGCAGGGCTGTTGAGGTTGTAGCAACAGAACAGGAAAACTCTGTAAAGGAAAGTATATGTGGGTCAGAATCGTCCAGTATTGAAAAACCTGAGACATTGGTCACATCAGAAACAGGGTTGCACCCAGCCCCAGGTTCAGATTCTACTCTGCAAGAGGAGGTTACACAAGAGGCAGAGGAGAGGCAACTGTCTCCTGATACTGCCTCAGTCTCAAATGATACAGACAATGGGCATCTAGAAATGAATGAAAATGTCCATATAGTGATTGGAAAGGTCGAAGACAAAGGTCAAGCTCCGTCAGCCATTACTGGTCAGACATCACCAAAACCTGAAAAGGATGAAGGACAAAGTGTCAGAAGTAAAAGGTTACTAAGGACAGGTGTAGCCAGCAAGAACAACATTGAAACCAGCATTGTCAAAAGTGCTGTATCCAATGGTAAGGATGTGACCAGCCAAAGTGTAGCCAAGGATGTACCCAAGGGTGTGATATGCAAGGCAAAGGATGTGATCAAAGATGTAGCCTTGGGAATGACTAGTGAGGTCAAAGATATGTCCAAGGACAATGATGTGAGTGATGTAGTGGAGGAAGTAGCCACGGGTGTGATCAGGGACAAGGACGGGATGACAAAGGACATACATTTAACTAAAGAGACAGATTTGACAAGCAGGGATAAAGATTTAATTAAAGAGAATGCTGTGACTAGCAAGGAAAAACATTTAGCTGAAGACAAGGATGTGACTAGCAAAGACAAAGATCTGACTAAGGACAAGGATGTGAATAAGGACAAGGATGTGACTAAGGATGTCACTAGCAAAGATGTGGGTGAGGAAGTAGGTAACAACGTGGCCAAGGAGGGTACTTTCATCTTCAAGGACAGGAATCTGACCAAGGTCAAGGGTATGACAGCAGAAGAGGATGTAATGAGTGAACATCAGGATGTGACAAATGATAAGGGTGTCATCATCAAGGATATGACTGTTGATGTTACAAAGGACAAGGATGTTACCCTGTTAAAGGGTGTTATCAGCAAGGACAATGAGGCCAGCAAAGCAGATGTGGCCAGTGAGGACAACAAAAGGTACAAGGATGGTGAAGGTCAGGGCATCCACAGGAAGACTCGGAGGAAGCTGCAGAGGGTGAGCGGTAGTGATGAGCAGGTACCTCAGCCTGAGTGTGCTGGCACTGAGGACACCAGGAGAACCACCAGGGCGAATCAGTTGAAGAGAGCCAACATGAAGAGGCAGATGAGTTTTGATCAGGAGGAGGCTAAGACAGTAGATGAGGAGGACCCTTCAACTGCAGAGAAGAAGACCAAGAAGGAATCAAAAGAACTTGACAGTTTTAGGAAGGGACTGAAAGACGAAGAAACAAGAATGAGTGGGAAAGTTGGGATGGAGCAGGTTAAAGAAGCTGGAGTGGCAGAAGAAAGTGGGGACACTATGATGAAGGCATCTCAAGAGGAAGTGAATGCTGAAGATGATTCTGTTGTTATGAACAAACAGGTTGAGGAAACTGCTAAAGGAAAAGTTGAACAAGGAGAAATTTCATCTGACGTTGGACATAATGTTGAGCAAATGGACCAAAATGAAGAATCTGTGACTTTGAAAGAGGTGTCGGTTGTCAGTCAGGAGAGTGTACAGGAAGAAGTTGACACAAGAGATCGGTGTGAAAAGACCCAAGATACTGACCAGATGTCTGATTCTGATGAAGATTCTGATGATGGAAGCAAGAGGAAACGTGTTGAGTCCCAAAATTCATTTGGTTTTACCGTCAGCAATACTGAGACCACCATCTCCACAGAAGGTCCTGGTCTCCTGGATGCCTTGAGTCTGATCCCAGAACTGCAGGAACTGGATGAGGACACATTTGCTGAGGACGTGAAGGAGCCCAAGTCCATCATGACAGGGCCTGGTTCACAGACTCCTGAAAGAGTCGCCTCCCTGAAATTGTTGCTTACTACGCGAGGGAAGTTTTCCTCCATTAGTGCCTTACTACAAGTGAGTTCTCTTTGGCGTCTGTATCCACCGCCAACACCTCCACCATCGCCAATGAACTTTCTGCGTATTCGGGATCCTGTTTCACCGCTACCTCCATCCCCAACAGGGCTTCTGGACGACCCCCTCCCTGTTAAAATAGGAAAATCAAAAGAAAGACTTTAAGGAAAACCAAAATAGACCTGAGACCCCACCTACTCCTGATGGTGCCAGGTTTACCAAAATAAGCCATTGGATGAAGCAGTGTCTTCCATGACTTCAGGGACGATAGAGGCGGGTAGCACGGGCTAGCTCGGCCTCAAGCAGACTTGCCAAACTTCGGTGCTGATCTATCTTCGACAACTGTGAGGCCAAAGGCTGTGTACTCCAAGCCTGGAACTGCTGGTCAGGTCGATGCCTCTTTCTTCCCAGCAGTGAGATCTGCAGAGATATCTTTAGCTAAACAGCAATTGGCCAAAAGGTGAGTGTACGCTTGAGTTCTTTTTAGATATTAATAAAGTCAGAATTGGTCTCACTCAGACACTCATTTCCCCCTTCTCTCTCTCTCTCTCTCTCTCTCTCTCTCTCTCTCTCTCTCTCTCTCTCTCTCTCTCTCTCTCTCTCTCTCTCTCTCTCTCTCTCTCTCTCTCTCTCTCTCTCTCTCTCTCTCTCTCTCTCTCTCTCTCTCTCTCTCTCTCTCTCTCTCTCTCTCTCTCAATGTCTCTGTCTCTCATGATGGCAAGCACCATGTTTCATATCGAACCTCCTGCCACACATTTGGTATCTTACCCACTATAACCATTCAAGGTAACACAAAGTTTCCGTTCACTTATATCTGTACCAGTTCACATGCATGCAGCACCTTATTTTTCCTTATCCTGACTCATGCTTATTGCTTGTCTTCTTCTTTCTTGCAACCACCTTGTAACATAGTGGAACACGTATCTCCCAATTGAAGTTCCCTTCAATAAAAAATCACTAATTAGTACTCACCACGAAGTTACCTCCCTTCCACAAGCCGCTGAACGAGGGCCACCTCAACCCATGTGCCTCACTCTCTCCTTCTTCACCCAGTGAGCTGGACGCGAGAGCTCTGTGTCTCCCAACACACTATATCCTTTATTTATATTTAGTTTAGTACCTCTTATATTCAGTTATAGAGGTGTAACTAGTATCCTTATTCAACTTGCATTGATTATTAGTCGTGTTTCTGCTGTTTTATTCACGGTTCGCCGTGTTTGTTCAGCAGTTTACGCTAATGAGAATCTGCACAGGTTGTAAACCACGCTATTCCGCTACCGATCCACATTTAAAATGCCCTAGTTGCATTACTCCATGTTCTATTGTTTCTCGCTGTAAATTATGTATTAATTTACCAATTTCTGCCTTTGATAAATATTTATGTTCCGCTTTTGAGACGGAAGGCAGATAAATCTCGCAAAAACAATCTTCAGTCATGGCTAATAGATCGGAAGCTAATATACCCTGTCAACTGTTGACTGATTCGACTCCGCCACCGCTGGTGGCCTGCCTGAGTTTCCCTCGGGATAAGCGTGGACGCAGTCCGCTATGTCCAAGAAGCTTACCTGCATCTCAAGACATTCCGCTTCACAGTCTAAGACTAGGAAAGCGTCCACATCATCTCAACGTACGCTTCAAACCCCCAGGTCCACAGCTTCGTCAAAAGGGAAATCTACAAAAGCTACAAATAATTTTGCCTCCGATATTCTACCTGTCTCAGAATTATGTTTATATGATGATGACATTCCGATTATCATTCCAGATGTACGTCATAAGAAACGTCCAGTATCTGCTACCGTCACTACAGCGCAGATCAACACGCAACCAGAGATGCCTACGCTGACGCCGGAGTTTATGATTGAGGGTCCCGTCACTTTCACAGAGAGGCCACCCTCAACGCCAGCGCAGACCGTCCCAGACGACCTGGTCAACCAAATCATGAGACTGATGGAGGACCGTTACGGTTTACAGAGGCCCCAGAGCCACGGGCCCCAGAGCCCAACCCATAATAAGTCATACAGGGCCCCAGAGCCCGCCTTGGCTTCGCGTAGGGCCCCAGAGCCCACAAACGCGCCTCCGCGAAGGGCAACCCAGCCCGTAGCGATCACTTCGCAAAGGAAGTCCCAGGCCGCCTCCGCGAAGGAGCTAGAGCCTCTCCAGTTGCGAGGGACATCGCGGAGAAGGAGCGCTTCGCCGAGCCCACACCCTGTAGAACACAGAGGTCGCTTCATGGGCAAGCAAGCCATATGTCGATTCGACACTGACTCGATACATTCGCTGGCTAGGTCGCTAAGGCTAAGTGGCTCCAAATCTACCTCACCCAGAAGATCTAGAAGAGCTTCGCTGAAGTCCCCAGCGCTCACCGAGGATGTCTCCTCCAAGGTCTCCTTACACTAGCCACTCGTCAGTCCGTTCACCACAGTCCTCTCATAGATCTTCCTACAGATCTAGGACTCCGACATGTGACCCTACGCCAGAAGAGGAAGAAGGTATCATTTTCTCAGATGCTGAGATTAGATACTGGATGGTGAATGAGTTACAACTTGCTTCCCATCGAAGAACGAGAATTCAACTCAGACTTACCTGATGAAGGATGATGATGTAGACAATATCACCTTACCTCCTATTGACCCGATTGCAGCGGTACCAGCTAATCTGGATACAGCCTGTTCCAAATCTTCGAAAGTCCAATCTACACATTTCCCGGTCTTCAATGCCAAGAAATTTGCTGGACACAATATGGACCCCTTTTTCAAGGCCCAGGATATTGATGACAACTTTAAATTAATCAGTGATGCCAAGTCCAGAAGTTACAGAGTAGACGATCGCAAATTGGCCCAATTAGATACCATCTCCAGGAGAATGTTCTTTGGATTGAATAGATCTAGAACTATTAATGAAACTCTCATCACCAAGTTCAAGAATTCTACAGAGGAGGAAGATAGAATGATCTACTCAGCTCTACTCATGCAGAAAAGAGACCACCAATTTCTTACAGAGCACCTGTCAGCACTTACTGAAACTACTACCATGGCTCGTCGGCAAGGCTTACTAGCCTCCTGCTCTTGGGATAAGCAATTCACAGAATCTCTATACACAGCTCCATGGTCATCGCCCTTACTGTTTGGTGGCAACATAGACAAGGTCTCCAAAGAAGTATCTAAAGACTCGAGAGAGGTACTTATGATCAGATCCATGGATACCTTAGCGAACGTCATTAAACAGTCAGCACAGAGATACTCGGGCAAGTCTAAGTTTTCGGGGCTACAGAAAGCACGGGACAAGAAATTAGCTGCAGCTAAAGATCCCAAGGATTCTTTTCGTCGCCCATACAGCAAATTTAGGGGAGGATCAGCTAGAGGCAGATCATCCAGAGGTGCCCGTGGATTTAGACGATGAAATTCAGGTTCGGAACGACTGGAGTCTTCCACCCCCAGCCGTTCCAGTACAACCTTCTCAAGTGGGTGGACGCCTTCAGCTGCACTGGGAAAACTGGGGAATACTACAAGATCCATATGTATCCAACATCCTACAGCACGGATATCTAATACAACTCAAGGCCAAGCCTCCGTTAACAGTCACCCCCACAGGGTTCAACGTTCAACCGGCACAACTACCTATGTTAAGAGAAACAGTAGCTACTCTGCTAAACAAACAGGCCTTAGAAGTTCTGGATCAACGAAACATCGTACCAGGTTTCTACTCCCCAGTTTTCCTAGTGCCGAAGAAAAATTCCAAGGAGAAGTTTCGTCTCATATACAACATGAGCATCTTCAACAGAGAATATCTATGCAAACCACCAACGTTTCGCATGATACACTTACCGCAACTTCGGCATTTAATTCGTCCCAAAGATTACATGGCCAGCATAGATTTGCAAGACGCATATCTACACATTCCGATTCATCCCAACTCAAGGAAATATCTAAGATTTATCCTAGACGGGAAACATTACCAATGGAAGGTTCTTCCCTTCGGAATCACATCGGCCCCTTGGGTATTCACAAGAGTGACCAAGCCTATTGTCTCATACCTACATCGCCAAGGTCTTCGCAGAAAGCTTTTTACCTAGACGACGGTATACAAGTGGATCCAGATCCACAGCGTCTCAGACTACAGCTGAACTTTATAATCAAGCTACTAACTCAATTAGGATGGTTAGTAAATCTACTCAAGTCGGACCTAGAACCAACGCAGGATCTGCAATTTCTAGGTATACGATTTCTAACAGCTCAGAATCGTATTGTAGTCCCGGAGGACAGATGGATCAAGATCCAACAACTTATTCCTCAAGCCCTACTCTCTCCGTTACCACTACGACAGTGGCAGAGCCTATTGGGACTACTCACATCAGCTCAAGACTTGACAGTCAGAGGCAGGCTTCAATTACGCCCGTTACAAGTCCTCATCAATGCTCATCTCGAGGACCCTCTACCATTCAGTCTACCAGATTATGTCAAACCACATCTACTCTGGTGGACCAAGAGATTGAATGTTTGCGCAGGCGTCTCCTTAGTAGAGCCGGAATCGAAAACACATCTCTACGTAGACGCGTCACTACAAGGTTGGGGAGCCCACCTTGCCGCAGGACAGCGTCAGGCCTATGGAGCAATCAAGAGAGCAAATGTCACATAAATCTGCTAGAGATGCAAGCAGTCATAAACGCCATAAGTCACTGGAGCAACCTACTACAGAACGCTCAGTTGATGGTTCACACAGACAATTCAACAGTGGCGTTTTATGTGAACAAACAAGGTTCAACAAGGTCACAGAACCTACTGACTCGATGTTTCAGACTGTTCGATCTAATCGACAATCTAAACATACACGTCAGAGCTTGCCACATTCCAGGAGCAAAGAATGTATTAGCAGACGCTCTCTCTCGGCCACACCAACCGTCGCCGACAGAATGGATGCTCCACACAGAGATATTCAATCAAATAATCATGGAAATAGGATCTCCTCTGATAGACCTATTCGCCACTCGATTCAACAAGCAACTGACAACATTCGTATCGCCAGTTCCAGACCCACTAGCATGGGCAACGGACGCACTAAGCATATCGTGGGAGGGACTCAACGCGTACGCTTTCCCGCCTCCAGCGTTAATCCCACAAGTCTTACAGAAAATCAGTCAAACGCAGAGCCTCCATCTGATTTTGGTC